CCCCCAACTGCCCCTGGCTCCCTCAGCCAAACAGATCCTCTCCTTAGCTGTCCACAGCCACCTCAGGGCCTCCCTGGGCCAGGATGTTCCGCTCGTCCACCATGGCCCCCGTCTGACACCCTCGACAGTGTCCCCACTGGGTTTTCCCTCGCTGTCCCTGCCATTAGGACCTCAGTGCCACTGAGGCAGGCCGTTCAGTGACCCAGCGCTGAGAATGAGATGCTTGATACACTCTTGCGTGCAGTCTACTGGGCCACCTGGGGGTTCAGAGTTTACCGTGGTGGGGTGCAGTCCACCAAGAGCCGGGGATCCCTTCTTCCTGGAGGCGACCCCGGTCCCGACGGCCGGAAGCATCCAGAGCTTCTCTTCGGCACGAAGTGTCGCCCTAGGGCTCACGCTGCGTCTGAGCAGGAGAGAAAGACCAGGCAGGCGAGCTGGAGAGGCTGGGTTCGACCGGAAAGCAGCAGAGGCTGAGGTCAGGGCTGGGGGGGACCGCGGCTGTCACTGCGGCCCGTCTCCGCCTGCCGGGCACCGGAGATGGTCCCTCGGCCCCTCGCCCCTGGAGGACGGCACCCCGACCGTCCCTGTGTCTTCACAGAGTGACAGGAGCACCTTCGGCCCTGAGTGTGGGGCGGCTCCAGATCCCTCGGCTGCAACTCACTGGGAAAACTCGGCTCAGGAAAAAGCCACATAAAGTGAGTTATTCAACGAGCACTGGGTACAAAACTTCAGAATAAAGGCTGAGCTTAGAGACTGGATAGGACACCGTCTTGGAAAGTGGGGACAAGACGATTGTGAAAATAAACTGATTTTCTCTTCTACCTGACATGATTATCACATAATTGCCGCGGTGCACACAAACTCTTAGAATGGACACAGTGAAGCAAGCGTGGATATATTTAAATCTATTTAAACAGAATTGCGTGACAGCACAATGCAACGTCCTTTACATTGTGTCTGGCATAATTACAGAGAGAGTCATTTGGGCAAATGATTCAGTCAGCAGTGTGACCGCTGCCAGGCACTGGTCTCAGCCCCCAGAACTGGCCCACTGCAGCCTCGGGAAAAGTAGCCAGGCTGCGGCCCCACCCAGGACGGGCTCCCCAGCAATCCCCTCCCCAACACTTCCGACTTCTGATTCATAAACCTGGCATGGAGGCGCGTGATTGGTGGGCCCTGGTCACGTGGCCACTTCCAGGCGCAGCCCTGAGCCCTGGCTGGGGTCCGGCCGTCCCCACTCGAGCACTGACCGCTCGAAGGCCACACGGGTCCTGAGCCTGTTCCAAGGCCAGACAGGGCTCAGCCCCACATCTTCGGTTCTTAAAAGGCTGAAGAGTTATCACGTCCCATTTTAGAAACAAATAACAGAGCAGGCAAAATATGAAGAGGCTACTTTGCCTATAATAAAAATGGCTGCATATGAACAAGGTGAACAGGCCGTGAAAGACAAGGAGAAAACAAAAGCAGATCAGGTGCCAACCAGGCGCAGGTAGACGCCAACCCCCCGTGCTCAGAGCCCAGTGGGAAAAGTGACTGAAATGCCGGTCCCCTAACGCGGCGACCAGGCGGTTACAGGAAGGTGGGAGAAGCACCACCGAGGGGAGGTGCAGAGAGCTCCAGGCAGAGGAAAAGGCCAGGGCCCAGGTGTGGGAGGAACTGGGCAGCTGGAGTGTGGACAAGGCCGGCTCTTCTAGAACCTTCTAAACCAGAAGGGGCCAAGGGGGCCACAGAGAGCCACAGAGTTGGGTTTTGTTTATTTGTTTTTAATTTAATTTCTTGGCCAACATTTATAAATCAGGGCTTTTTGCATACAACTTCAGATTCTGGCTCCTCTTAAGAAGTGGAAAGCTCTGGGCCGCGTGCCGGCTAAGAAGCGACCGTCCCCAGAGATAGGCTTGTTCTCTCCGGCTCCCCCAGGTCCCCTCAGCCACCTCGCCCAGCCGCGTCCCCAAGACGGCCACCTCCTCTCCGGGAGCCAAGGACCCTGGCTCCGTCCCCCGGGAGCGGGAGGCCAGGTCAGGGAAGGCCCCGTCCTGTTTAGGTTTTGCGGTCTTGTGAGTAACCGAGTGGAAAAAAACAAGCTTGAAAAGATAACAATTACAACGAAATTAAATCAAATCAGGCCCGTGACTCATTTATGGAGCCGTAAAAACAGAAAACAAAAACAAGCTGGTTTTGGAGAAGTGAGGCCAGGATGAGGCGAGAGACGTCACAAAGGGAAAAAACGAGAGCGGCGGGCGGACTCCAGGGCCGGGCCAGGGCGGGGACACCAGGGGCCAGCGGGATGGAGGTCCCCACAGCTGAGAGCACCAGCAGGCCATTCTACAGATGGGGAAACTGAGGCTTAAAGGGACCAAGGGACAGGCCTCGGGTCACACGGCCAGCCTGTGGGACCCTGAGATTGGAACCTGACTCCAAAGACGATATTAGAGTTCAGTCCAAGCCCTACCCCTTTTCCAAAACCAAAGGGGCCAGAGTCCTGAACACCGCTCCAAACTCTTTAGGAACCCCAAAGGCCAGAAATCAAATATGGCTGCCCCTCTGGGACCCCCCCAGTGCCCATGTGTGGGTCACGTCAGGCAACGTCTGAGGAAGGCTGTGGGTGCTCCGTGGGCCGGGCCCAGGGGAGCTGCCAAGCACTGCTCCGCAGCTGACCAGAAGCCTCTGCCCAAGATGGAAGAGGAGCCCGAGGCAGGGCCCGGGGGAGCCGCCCTGCCGGCCTGGGATGAAAGGAGGTCATCCTGACCCCAGGGTGAGGCTGCGCAGGAGCTGGGAGCTGGGCCAGCGCTGGCAGCAGAAAAGGCAGGGCAGCTAGTGAGGGCTGCATTTGAGGGGGCCGGGCTAAAGGGGCACTAGAAAGTGGCTGCCAAGAATAATGTCAACGCAGGTGAGGTGGCGCGTGCCCCTAATCCCCAGCACTCAGGAGGCTGAGACAGGAGGATCGCAAGTTTGTGCCAGCAACTCTGTGACTTAGTGAGACCCTAAAAAATGTCACAAAATGTAAAAAAAAATTAAAAGGGGGCCAAGGATGTAGCTAGGTAAAAGGTCCTGGATTCAATTACAAGCACCAGAGAAAATAACGTAACATAACACAACATAACATAAATACACTGGTTGGGTTCAAGTACTTACTAAGTACAGGACCTGGTGCTGAGCACTTCTTGTTTATTTATTGATTCATTCATTCACCCACTGTACAGCTCTTGGTGGTGCACCTTCTTGTGCCGGCTGCTTTGGTATAGGCAGGAGACACAGTCATGACAAAGAGAGGCAAAACTGAAACTTCATCCTGCAAGGGTCGACAGGTAAATAAGGAAAACCGTGGTGTATTAGGCAGCGGCAAGAGTTACGGAGACCAGCTCAGCAAGGGTGGCTGTGGGGGCCAGGGCCTCCCTGGCCATGACATTAAGCAGAGCCCCAGAGGAGGTACAGGAACAATCTAGCCTCAGCAAAGTGCTCTGGGCAGAGAGAATGGCACATGCAAAGGCCCTGGGGAGGGAAGCACCTGGCAATTCTGAGCGAGAGCCAGAGGGCTGGTGTTGCAGGGATAGAGCACATCCTCGCAACAACCGGGAAGCCAAGAACTGTTATTATTTCCTCTTTCTGAAGAGGAAACTGAGGCTCAGAGAAGGGAAGTGACTTGTCCAGAGTCACACAGCCCGGAAATGGCAGCACAGGGAGCAGAACCCAGGTCAGGCTGAGTAGGGGTGGGTCCCTGCTGACTGAGGCCCCGTGCTGTGACCAGGCTGCATGGTCCAAGGGTGGCTCCCAGCATGTGTCACTGCCTGGGTCACAGCCGTGGGAGGTACGGTTGTGCAACACAGCGCCCTGCAGGGAGCCAGGCTGGGACAGAGGCTGGGCTGGGACCCGACCCTGGCCCACCCTGGCTCAGCCCTGTCCCCGGACCAGGACAAGGGAGCCTCTTTGCAGCCTTAGTTTCCCCACCCACCACAAATAACGAGTCCACCTAGGTCCCGAGAGAAGCACAGCCTCTTGGGGTCACACAGCCAACCAGTGACCGAGACATGGCCACCCCAGCCTCCTCCCTCATCCTGGGCACAGCCCTGGCCTCCCAGGGCCCTCCACCCTTCCTGTTCCACCTCCCGGCCTTTGCACGTGCTGCCCACACGCCTGGAAGCCTTTACTTCTGCCATCTTTCCATCTATGAAGGAAAAATAGGTCAGTGGCATCATGAGTGACAATAGAGAGGAAAGGAGGGAAAGGCCCAAGTCAAGGAGGCTGTAAGGGCTGACGTGGAGCAGAGACCTGAGAAGTTGAGGGAGGGCCCATGTGAGACGCAGGAGACAAGGCTCAGGCAACGGGCACAGCATGTGCAAAGGCCCTGGGGTGGGAATACCCAGCCTATGGAGGAATAGCAAGGAACACTGGGGGCTGGAAGTCAGAGAGTTGGAAGGAACTGTAGTCATTAGAGGGGTGGGGCGGATTGCTGCGGCATGGACCCCATGGGGCCTCATGGGTGAGGAGGACTTGGACTTTTACTGAGAGAGATGGGCACCCTGGGAAGGGTCTGCACAGCAGGGTCAGGACCTGACTTGGGCTCTGAAGGGATCCCTCTGTGAGGACCAGGCTCCACGCTGGGGGCAGGAAGGTGCAGCAGGGGAGCCATCAGGCACTGTGGCAGTGCGAACAAAGGCTCTGGGAGACTCCCGGGTTGGGGAGACCTGGGTTGCTGGGAGGGAAGGATGGCACCTTAGGAGTCGCTGAGTTTGAGGCTATTCTGGTTGGGGGGCGTGGTGTCCGGGGAGCAGAAGTCCGGATCGGGAGAGGAGGCGCTTTCAGAAGTCCCCAGAGTTCAGAGGTGATGGGGCGGTGTCTTTGGCCTTCACCCCAGCACCGGCAGAGCCTTGGGGGAGCCCCAGGGTAGCCGGGACCCAGGAGTGAGCTCAGCCCGTATTGGGTTGTTTTCTCCCACCGCAGTCCCAGAGGGTGCAGGGGACTGGGGGGCGGAAGGGGGCATCAGGCTGAGGAGCGGAGGAGGAGGAGGAGGAGGAGGAGGGAGGAGG